TCCTTCGTTCCCTTTCACTCCCGTAGCCGTGTTTCCTTTTCTCCCTTGAAGCCGTCAGAATCTGTCCGTGGAGGCGGCCAAATTCTGTCTAACTAGTAGCTATATTCCTCTTCGTTGTCTTAATCCTCTCCTCACCTTCCTCATAGAGGAATCCCCCCCTATGGGCTCTATCCCACCGCTTGTCCTTTCCCAACGAACGGCTGGACAGTATCCCCCTCCTATACCTCTTCGCTAACCCCAGAGGAGATTTTGTCTCTTTCTGCCTTGTAGTCCTAGTAATCCTTGTAGATCTCTGTCTTGTCGCTCCCACCTTCGCTCCCTTTCTTTCCCGTAGCCTTGTTTCCTTTTCTCCCTGGATGCCGTCAGAATTTGTCCGTGGAGGTGGCCAGATTCAGTCTGAATCTAGCCTTTCTCCTTCAAGTGCAGCTAGACGCGTAATACTTTTCACATTTGGCTTTACCTAGTTTCCACTCGTAGAGGAAACCTCGTCCCAACCGAGCAGATCCCACCGTTTGTCTGATGAGCTGGACGGCTGGATATCATCTTCAGCTCCAGTATCTCGGAGACACGGTCTTCAAGCAGCTAGGCGACGCCTAGGCGCTGGACAACGCCACTTACCACGTGGCGCAGCTCCCAGCACACATGCGCAGACAGCTGGGCGTACGGTTCGTAGCGTTGCCCCGCGCGGCGGCGCGGCGAGGACGATAGCGTTGCATTGCGCTAACCGACGGCGCGTGCGCTCAGACCTTTTTCCATGAAGTCTTCACTGCACGTATTCCTAAGAAAAGAAAAACTCCTTTGCTTCTTCCTATGGTATGCCGTTTGCGACTCTGTCTTAACCTGTGATCCATTGCTTGCACTTCACCCATTTCCTTCCCCTTTCTGAGCTTTGACTTCCCTTGTTCATAGTGAAGCCAGTTGCTGTGTCTGCCCCTGGTGTCCGTTTGCCATGTCTTGTTGGTCTTCTCTGAACCAATGGAAATCAGCCTATGCCCCTCTATTGTGGCTACTTTACATTTGGCCAATACTCTGTTCTTGAATTTCGTGAGAATGTCCTTGGCCTTTTCAGGGTTAGCCACTGCCTCCTTCTTGGCTCGCTGCCATTGAGCTGTAATGTCCGTCAGTAGTAGATTATGTAGTGTTGCTCTAGCTTCCGTTCTGATTGACGGCCTTTTACCTATCACTTGTTGACATCTCCTTTTCCATACTGTCCGTAATGTGTATTGTCTCAGCAACTGGTAAATGCACTTATGGCTTGACTACCATCCTCTCGGGACTTCAGTTCCTGTGAGATGGACTCTTTTGCTCCTTGGGAATGAGAAGTCCGTGATGCGATCCCACAGGGTTCAAGCTATGGACCAAACATACTCCGCTTCCGGGCAGTGCAGTAGGCCGTGAACCAGTGTTTCAGGTACTCCTTCCGTACACATGGTGCAGTTTTGCTCCCTCACATCTTTGTTGTTCCTGCTTCGTTTTTCGTACAGCCAGACGTTGATTGGGAGTGCGACATGAAAAATGAGCCACTGCATACTTCAGACTTTATTCAGCCTGATGCTGTGCAAAATCGACCATGACAATTTTCCTATTTGTTGTCTTGGTATTCCCACCCTCTTTTCCCACCTCACTGCCAGGGGTTGATCCATCTGGGTTGATCTCTTTCTTAACCGATACCCCCATTTAGTAGTGCAGTGGAGTACGTTAACTCTGTTCACTGTTCTTAACCCATTCCCTTTGATGTTCCATGCCCAGTGTGCTGGATCAATTTCCAGATTTTGGATAGGTGTTGTAGGAGCAAAAATTGTGAATTTGTCAGTCTCAATCACCCTGACTTTCCTGAGGAGACTTTTGTTGATGGTTATTGGAACCCTGGTTTCCTTGTCCAATAGACTAACCGCAAAGCCTGGGTTCAGGATTGGATACATGTCTGCCTCCGGCCACAGATTGGCTGGGCCTACCTCTTGGTGAATGCGGAACGCTTGGTCTGGTTCCGAGCTTGAGGTCCAAGTTTCCCAGTCAACCCCAGCCCCATTTGAACGGGCCCCGCAATATTTGCGTCCATGCTTGGGGTATGGAGCTAAGCACTTCATTCAAATTCTCGGTTAGCCTGTGGCAACCTTTCATTTCCTCTCTCATTTCCCTCCCCGTTTTCCACCTATTGTGAGTTTGTGACCATAGATGCCTTACTTGCCATACCCCATGCTCCAACCAATTCCCCCACTTGGCGTCCTTTGCTGTAAGTGTTCTGGGTTTTCCTTGAGAGTCCTTCAACCACGGGTTACAAAACAAAGGCTGCCTGAGAACCTCCTCTCTCGTTCTTGGATATCTTACTCTTGTCGGGAAGACTTTGGCCCATATCTTAAGGATGTGGGCCCAGTACGAAGACCTGGCGTCGTTTTCCCCAACCCTCTGCGCTCTTTTTATTCCCTTCTTGGCCCAACCTTTGCAGAATAACTAGAACGTGCCCTCCATATTTGGTGGAGTTGTGTATCTCGCCATCCCCCGTATGTGTTCCAATGCTAGGGGGACCCAGCGTAGATGGGGTTGCGTAAATAATTTGATGACCCGTTTAGTTTGAAGTGCTATGATCTGTTGGGCGGGATCCAAAATACCCAGCCCCCCTTGATCCTTTGATTGAATTACTTGCCTCCAGGCCACCTTTGATATAAAATTGGTCTTGTCTGGATTCGTCGTCCACAAGTACGCAGCTGCCATCCTCGTAAGCTTGTGAAGCGACTGTGATGGTGGAGTCCATATTGTTCCCACATACCATAACATTGAGAAAATAGAAGCGTTTAACACTAATGCCCTCCCAAACAGCGATGTGTAAATGTCCGACCAGGCTGACATTTTGGCTAACATTTCCACCATTTGTTCTGGGGCCATGGAGTGATGGGAACCCGTGTCATCTAGCCTAATCCCCAAATATCTCAGCGGCTGGTCCGACGGTAGCCAAGACATGCCTCCATAATTGTAAGGCTGGGATTGACTCTGTTGATCGTGATGTGAGAGCCACCAGCCCACTGTTTTAGGCCAATTGATCTTCATTTCCGATGCCGACTGAAAGGCCTCCGTAGCTCTTGTGAGGGTCTGGAATGAGGTGTTTGTGGCTCTCATGAGGACTGTCAGATCATCCACAAATAATATCGTCGTAGGTAAGGTTATAATGCGTCCCTGCTGATCTGGTTCTGCTATCAAGCGGTCTATCGAGGGGTTCTTCCTAAGGAAGGAGGCTATTGCCTCCATAATGAATAGAAAAATAGGGGCTGCTAGTGGGTCCCCCTGTCTGACCGACCTGGACATTTTATACTTTTGAGAAAGATGACCATTGAGTTGAACCTGTCCTTGTGCGTCATTGTGCAGAACGCGTATCCATTTACGAAAGTTAGGGCCAACTCCCATCTTTTCCATGCATAGCTGTAGAAATTTCCAGTTTACTTGGTCGTAAGCCTTTTCAAAATCAAAGAAGAGGATTGTCGCATTGATCCTCTTATTTGTGATATATCTGACTGATTCCGACAGCATCATGACGTTATCCAAAATATATCTTCCCGGTACGAAACCCGTTTGGTCCAGATGAAAACATCTATTTGTGACCTTTCTCAAACGATTCGCTAGAGCTTTAGCCACTATCTTGTGCGTGAGTGTTAAAAGAGTAATCGGTCTATAATTTCGGATATCCTTGGGGTCCCCCTTTTTATACAAAAGGGTAACGACTCCCAACGAGGATTCCAAGCCAAGGCCTTCTTTGTGCCATGCCTGATTTAGAAAAGCCTCGTATTCCCCGCCGAGGATGGGCCAGTATTCCTTCCAGGACTCCTTGGTGAGCCCGTCCCTTCCTGGCGTCTTATTAGGAGGCATCGAGTTCAGGGCTCCTCTTAGTTCGTCTTGGGTTAGAGGGGCATCCAATATCTCTGTTTGGTCCCCTTTCAACGTGCAGTCTAGGTAAGCCAAGAACTTATTTCTGACTTCTTTTAGTTGCTGTTGTTCCTGATCCCCCTCCCTTGAAGTGTAAAGGTCCCTGTAAAAGTTGCAGGCTACCGTCAACATCCCTTCTGGAGTAGATTCCAGGCCTTGCGGTCCATCCAACTGTTCTATCTGTGCATTTCTACCTTTTGCTTTGATCTTTTGAAAGAAGAACTTCGTCATTCTTTCTCCCTCCTCCCATTTTCTCACTCTAGCCCTTGTCTGCAATCCCCTAGCCCTCCATCGCTCCCAGTCCCCCAGTTCCCTTCTAGATGAGTCTATTATTTTCTCATACATCTCCATTCCTGGATTGTTAATTAGATTTCTCTCTGCAATGCGCAATGCTCGCTGCAGCTCTCTTTCTCTAGCCGCTCTTCTAGCCGCTAACTGCCTAGCCACTACTAACGTTGCCTTCGACAAATCGTTCGTCAGATCTTCAAACGATTATGTTTCTTCATTATATCCCAAGCATACTTGCAGTATAGCATCTTTCAACTCTTGGGTTTTTAACAGAGAATTATTGACCTTATAAAAACTTTTACCCCTCTGTATATGTTTGTTGAAAAGGAGGTGGAGGAAAATGGGCTTATGATCTAAGCAACTACAGTATGGCAGGTCCCCTATTCCAGCCGCACGCAATGTCCCTACTAGGCCGTGCGAAATGAGAAAGTAGTTTATCCTAGACGCCGACATGTGCTGACTACGATTCCTTTTATAGAAGGTGAACTACCTCGGATCCGGGTAGTGCAATCGAAATGGATCAATGAGGTCCCTGGATGACATGAGATTGTGAATGGGTAAGGCCTCATCCCATGACAACCCCTCCCCCGTACTTGATCTTCCTCCAAACAGTCTGTCCTTACTTGGTTCGAGGGTGGCGTTCCAGTCCCCTGTTGTTATAAGGTGCCTTATTGCGTCTATATGAGCCTGTAGTGATTGTAACATTTCTGACCTTTGGTGTCCTGTATTCTGGCAGTAAACCGTGATCATCGAGAACAACTCCTCCTGGTATACAAAGTTGAGTTTTATCCAGCGTCCATCTCCTAACTATTTTGTTTGCCGCCACCGACCTTTTGTTTTGTAGTATTACTACTCCTGCTGAGTGCGCTCTACCTGCTGTAGCCCAAAAGCTAGCTTTAACCCACCTTAGCTATTGTAGGATGCGCTGCTGGATGCGTTGGTGTTCCGGAGTATCTGTGAGATGAGTTTCCTGTATACATAGAAAATCTGGTGGACTCCTTCCAAACCAATCTGAATCCTTTAGTACGTTGTCCCATTTATCTTTATTTTCCAAGATCTGTACCATCCCGTTAATATTCCATGACATGATTGAAATTTCTGGTTCGCTTCATCCTACATTGACATTGACAACAGTCCTTCTCTTAGCTATCCCTTCACTCAAACCATCCTCCATTGGTCATGTTCCTTGTTGCCTCCCCCTGTAGAAGCACCTCCTCAAGAACCTGTTTGGGACCAATCTATCGCCGTTGACAGCAGTGCGATCTTGTTGCTGATGTATTCTTGTAACCACGAGAAGGCTTCTGTCTTGGTGACTATTGCTGCCCCCCTCGCAACCCACTCAGCTGCCTCCGGTCCACCCAATAGGCCATACGGTACTGTCTCCACCACCTGCCACGGCATCCAGACCAAATCCTCCGCCAGCCTATCCTTCTCCTGTAATCTGATCATAATAGGCTTGTAGCCAACCATTGACCCACTTCCAGCCTTGTCGTCCCATTCCTCCCGGTCATGCGTGAGGTCCCCCAATATCTGTGCCTTCATGGGCAGGTCCTCAGAGATCAACTCCTTGAGCACCTCCTGAGAACAATGGGTTTCCTTTACTGTAAGTAATGCAAGCGACTTTTGAATAGCCACTTCCCAATCAGAATTACCACTGTTCCAGCGATAGGGAAGGATGACTCTCTTGCCCGGGTTGTGTCTCGCGTAGAGCTTTGCCGCAGCGTTTATGTCCGTGTGCGACGAGGAAGCAATCTTCTGCAGGTTTATAGTGTCCGCCTCCAGCTCCCTGTTCTGATCCTTGAGGACATTGATCTGTGCTTCCAGAATCGCCACCTGTCTCTTCTCCTCCTCCATCTGCTCATCCTCTTCCCTTCCGTTGGTTGCATCAACTGTTTCCTGATCCCCGCTGTTGGACTTGTCCGCCGCTTCTTGCTGCGCCCTGCGTTTTTGTTCCGGCCTTTTCAAGCCTTGTGGCTGGTACGTTTTGGGCCATACGAACTGCTTGGTGTATCCCGCCTTGTGTATCGTAATGTCATTATTAGCTGGTATGGCCTTCCATGCGTACTGCGCTGCGTAGAATTCATTGACTTCCGGCTCTTTCTTCAACCATTCGAAGCGGTTCATTGTTGTGACATCCTCTTCTGATGCTATGGCCTGTTTCAGGTTTCAAAGGTGTTTGTGGTGTGCCAGGCGGATTTCACATTCAATCTGCCTTTCCCACCTTAATTTATGCACTGTCTTGATCCACTGAGCAAGGGTTTTCGGTTCTGCCTTCGGGGAACTATTTTTTTCCCTAGGATTTCCTTTTCTTCAGTCCTCTGCATGCATCAAGTGGAGGGATACGACAATTTTGGAAGTCGAATAAAATACAGAATGGTGAAACCAAGGTAACCGGGCATTTGCATGAGGGGGGTCAAGCCCTAAACCCTACACCCTAAACCTGGCCCCTAAATGTTGCCCTCCCATGTGCCCCAAACCCTAGACCCGGAACATTAAAGCTTACACCCTATACCAAATCCTTATATAAACGCCAAACCCTATACCCTAAGCATCAAGCCTTCTGTTGGCGAACGTTTTCGACCATCTCATGTTGCCTTCACCTCCGTGCTACCATCAGGAGCGAGGGCCTACTTGCACGGACTAATAAGAGAAATAGACCTCGAACATTCAACCGTTAAACCTAAATCCTTTTGTAAACACCAACCCGTATACCCCAAGTGTTTAAGCCTTCTGTTGGCGCACGTTTTCAATCATCTCATGGTTACCTCGTGCAAGTGGGTCCTTGCGCCAGAGCTTCTCGCGTCGGCAAACTGAGGCGGTTCATGATGTCGAGTCTCACCTTATCACCTTGTCAAAGGAGTCGGCCCCGGGACGACCTCTCACTACCTAGCACAGATTAAGGGTGACCAGCAATCTTCATTACCACAAATTACTGTCTGTTGATCTTCGTTGTGTGGAAGCAGCAATTCCTTTTCTTTTTTTCTTTTCCTGATAAGAAAAGTCGGTTGTGCCCTTCTTTTTTTCTGGGAATGGCAGCCCCGTTCCGTACGTAAGAATTGTCATTTTCAAATTTCTGTCCGTATTTCCCCTTGAAGCTTCTCGTCGACAAGAACTTCCTCTTGTTGCTTGTTTTTGGTTTCTTTTTGGGGATGAAGTCAGAGAACTAGTCAAATTCCTAGGCATCTCGGTGTCAATGACAGGAGCAAGTGACTCAATAGCGGACAGTCTATTAGCAGCAGACATGAATAAGTATATAGGCTGGCAGAAAGTCTACACCTCGCTGATGGGTAGAGCACTAGTCATTAACTCATCTATTTTCTCCATGCTATGGTACACAGCCTCAATATGGGACCCCCCCAAGCAATTCACCAAGAGCCTAAGAAAAAAGGCAGCAGCATATCTTTGGACAGGCGATGCCTCGAGAGAAAACTTCATCACAAAAGTGGCCTGGAAATACGTCATAAATGCGTCAAACGAAGGAGGTCTCAGTTTAATCGACCCAACAACAGAATATAAGGCACTCCAAACTAAATGGGTAATTAGACTACTTCTAAAATTGGAATTACCTTGGCAGGACATGGCAGTCCACCAAATCAGAAACCTCCTACCCTTCAAAGCACACGAGAACATTGAAGGGCACATGTGGATCATGAACAAGGACTGGGAACCTAGAAAAGAGGGAGCAAGACTCAGGCCAGGAGGGACACCCTCTACTGAAGACCCCCCGAGCAAGCACTGGACCAACCTGCTCAGAACATGGAGAGAGGCATTCCCGCAAAGGAGAAGGGGCCCAAAGTCGAAGGAGGAAGTACTGAGACAACCCCTCTTCGGCAACGAACGACTGAAGGACGAAAAGGGACAAACATGGACCCTCAAGGGAAAGGACAAAAGATGGAGAAGATGGGTGGAGAATGGCATATGGAAGATAGAACATACATGGGATGACGAAAATAGAAATTGGAAAACAGAAAATGGACTAAGACCCCTGCTAAGGGGACACCATAACCTAAAAAAGAACATAGAGGACCTGATAGATAGCGTACCGATAGCATGGAGGTCACTCCTGAACAAAGACAGAGGATGGAAAAAGGGAGATTGGGCAACGATGAAAATTCAGGAGTGCCCCTCAGTAGCGCTAAGACTTAGATCGACATCAAGGACTGACCCTAACCAAGCAATCTTCTACATATATGAGTTGGAACTATCAGGGAAGGCTATAACCATGGTTAAGGAGCGAAAGGTTGGAGACACTAAAATTCAAGACCAACGACTCAAGAAAGATAAGAGTGCTTAAAAATGAACAAATGAGAGCAGGAAAAAAGGGTAAGAAGGAAAAGGAAACAACCTGGCTTTTTAGACCAAATAAGGATATAACAGAGCTGGAAGTGGACCCAGGGGAATGGGGTTGGTACGAGGATAGGGGTAGAGGGCGAGCAAAGAAATGGAGAGCACTACATGAATACACAGTAAAGATAGGCTACAAAACAAGATGTAGATCAGCAAACCCCAACCAGATAATAGCAAAGAGATGGGAACAGCACGCACAAACGGACCCCTCATGGCTACAAAATATACCTTGGACCTACTATTCCTCAATCAGACCACAAAAAGTAAGAAGCCTACAATGGCTGATAGCTGTGCCAATAAACGCATGGTTGGACATAAGACGCAAAGAGGGTGATAGAACGGAGACCTCATCCCATTGTAAAATGTGCACAGGGAATCATCCAGAAACCCTGACACATTGCTTAATAAGCTGCCCTCACGCAGAGGCGTTATGGGACAAATGCTAAAAAACCTGGCATAAACTAACATCGAAGGAATACCCTAAGGATCAACTCTTTCGCCTAACAGTTGTAGACAAAAAAGGCACAATCATTGAAGAAAACAACCAAGTACTAGAACTTCTCAGAAAAAAACACACTGTGGGTGACATGGAAAGCAAGATGTGGAGGCACACTAGGGAAAAGGACCATCTCAACGAATGAAGCGTGGGAAGAGGCAAGAGAATTGATGGAAGCGGAAATCAGAGTGGAATGGAAGCACGCCCTAAACAAGATGGACAGGCAAACAGAAAACACAAAAAGAAAATTAAAATTCAAAAAGAATTTGAGGAGGTATGGCTAAAGGGTGAGCTAATAGCCAAGGTCACAGGCAGAGCACTACACTTCACAGACTGGTGCAAACAGACAACGGAGGACAGGGAAGCACACAACCAACCAACGGATCACATGGAAACAGACGAACAGTCACAATAGAAACACAAGACATGAATCAATCTCTTACTCAGATAAACCATCCGGAATACCACCGGAAAAATAGAAAACAAACTAGTATTAGAATCAGAAATCAAAATAAGGAACGATCAACTATAACAAGGAAACAATAGAAAGAAAGAGAACAAAATTTACGGGTTTAAGGAAGCAAAAGAATAAGGTCTCCCAGGAGCCGGACTTGTTTTTCGCCCACGCCGAAGGTTAGCACAGCGTGGCGCTAATTCTCGCGCCCGCGCCCTCGGCCCCCGCACCTGAGTTGGCGCCCGCGCGAATTCGAAAAATCACACCTCGAATACGACGACGCTCCGGCGTCGTCACGCACCACGGCAACGTAGCAAGTCATCCCACCATAGCCCATCGAGCCGAACAAGGGGTTCCACGTGCGCGCGCGCACCCACGACCAGCGAGGAACCGTCCAAAGGAACTCGAAGAGGAATGATGATCTCCATGGCATCCAGGAATAGTAAAAATGCTTAACGTCGAGGAAACGTCTAGGAGAGCTCTAGGAGAAATGAAGGCTTTTGGAGCTTTCTAGGAATAGGTTGAGGGCGAGTTGATTGATACCGGAAAACTCCAACTCTCAACCTGACTGGCGGCTTGCCCCTTGGGCAGGATCCAGAGGTCGACTGTAGCTTGAAGTAGGAGTAACACTAGGGAGGTTGCAATCATCAGAAGACGACGAAGCAACACAAGTCGGCATACGCGAAGTTTCATACGACGAAGCAACACAAGTCTGCATACGACGAAGCATCACAAGTCAGCATACGACGAAGATCACGGTACTAGGGAGCAGAAGAGACGGAATCGGACAAGAGGACAAACGGATCGGTCTCACACTGTGAGAATTTTACTATTCGCTATCATTCCTCTCGCCTCACCATCAATCCACCACAACGTCCCACATTGACGAATCTACTAAAAACTCTGTCCACACCCGCCCCCGCCGATCCCCACCATCCCCCTCTCTAAAAACGACTGACCCCTCCCACTACGCGTCATTCCCACAAAAACGCTCCTTCCGCATCATCCAAATTTGTTAACAACCTATTGTAACCCCTTACCGCAACACCCCACCCCTGTTCACACAGGCCACATCTAGTTTTCTACAACGTGATTTCTACAACGCGATCCCCCCCCCCACCCTTATTATTCGACATTCCACCAATAAGCTCCTATATCCATTGTCTAACATCCGCCCAACCCCCCACTACCTACCCGTAGATGAACATCTGTCTCTTATACACATCTAGATGTGTCCAATCGGTCGGTGTAAGGCTCGCTGCACGCGAGGATAAATATGGT